TGTGTGTTCCAAAAAAGCCAAAACAATCCTAAGTTGCATTAACAGAGGGATACAATCAAGATCAAGGGAGGTCCTAATACCACTCTATAAAGCCTTAGTAAGGCCACACCTGGAATCCTGCATCCAGTTTTGATCACCACACTATAAAAAAAGAAGTTGAGACTCTAGAAAGAGTGCAGAGAAGAGCAACAGAGATGATGAGGGGACTGGAGGCTCAAACATACGATGAACGGTTGCAGGAACTGGGCATGGCTAGTCTAATGAAGAGAAGGACCAGGGGAGACAGGAAAGCATCTTCCAATATTTGAGGGGCTGCCCCAAAGAAGAAGGGGTCTCCCTAATGCAATCCTAAGTTGCATTAACAGAGGGATACAATGAAGATCAAGGGAGGTACTAATAACACTCTATAAAGCCTTAGTAAGGCCACACCTGGAATCCTGCATCCAGTTTTGATCACCACACTGTAAAAAGATGTTGAGACTCTAGAAAGAGTGCAGAGAAGAGCAACAGAGATGATGAGGGGACTGGAGGCTAAAACATACGATGAACGGTTGCAGGAACTGGGCATGGCTAGTTTAATGAAAAGAAGGACCAGGGGAGAGAGGAAAGCATCTTCCAATATTTGAGGGGCTGCCACAGAGAGGAGGAAGGGGGTCAAGCTATTCTCCAAGGCACCTTTGAAGGCCAGAGAAGGAAGAATGGGTGGAAACTGACCAAGGAGAGATTCAACCTGGAAATAAGGAGGAATTTCCTGACAGGGAGAACAATCAACCCATGGAAGAGAAGTTGCCTTCGGAAGTTGTGGGAGCTTCACCACTGGAGGCTTTCAAGAAGAGACTGGACTTCCCTCTGTCAGAAAAGGTGTAGAGTCTCCTGCTTGGGCTGGGGGTTGGACTAGATGACCTATAAGGTCCCTTCCAACTCTGTTAATCTGTTAACCCTGCACCATTCCAGACAGATTCTCTGGTTTTATTGCTCCCCTCTGGGAGAGGAGTTTTCAAAGTATTTCTAGCCAGACTTCCAGATTCTGTAACAGCTTGCTGGCTGAGGAATCCTGGGAGTTGAAGTCCACAAGTCTTAAAGTTGCCAAGGTTGGAGACCCCTGCCTTATGCCACCCATCTGGTAAAAGTCACAATATTCCTTTTTCTCGCCCTGTAGATGAATACATCCAAACTAGACTCTGTTGTTTCTCCATGTCATATACATATATGTGGGTACATGCATAATTTTGTATTTGTTTATTTATTTTGCCGTGTTTATGTCCTGTAATATTGGAACTGGTGACCCTTTGAGAGCTGTATGCAGCGAAATCTCAATTTTAACGTGTGCCGCTTAGTGTACCTTCAAAGCGGCAATGCAAGTTATTCTAAGATAGTTATCCAATCTCTTCTAAAAAAACCGCCAATGATGGAGCATCCATGACGTCTGGAAGCGAGTCAATTATCCCCATTGTTAAGGAAGTTTCTCCTTAGTTCTAGGCTGCTTCTCTCCTTGGTTAGTTTCCATCAATTGTTGCTTCTGGTGCTTTGGGAAATAGGTTGATCCAATTTCAGACAGTCTCTTCTTGAAAACTTCTAATGTTGGAGCTTCCACAAGCTGTTCCACTGGTTAATTGTTCTCACTGTCAGGAAGGTTCTCCTTAATTCCAGTTTCCTTCTCTCCTTGATTTGGTTTCCATCCATCGCTTTTTGTCTTGCCTCTTGGTACTTTGGGGAATTGTTGTTGTTAGTTGCAAAGTCATGTCCAACCCATCTTTGACCACGTTCCTCCAGGCCTTCCTGTCCTCCCATCCTCTGGAGTCCGTTGAAGCTCAGGCCGACTGCTTCGGTGACTCCATCCAGCCCCCTCCTTCTCTGCCG